CATCACTTGCCGGGCTGGAGTCGGTGCTGCATGCGCCCGCCGCCCCCCGGGCCTGGGCTGCCTGGCCATCTCTGTCAGCCTGGCCGCGGCCGGTCGGCCGCACGTTCATGCCCAGTGGAAGGGGGGACCGGCGCAGCGGACCGAGCAGGCGCGATGGAGACGAACAGGCCCCCCTTCCCCCGCCCAGCCGCCCCACACCCGGAGCCAACTCCCCCCCCCCCCCCCCCCCCCCCCGCCAGGCGCCTGAACAAGGGTCTAGCAAGTGGTGGTGGGCACGCTCTTCACTCCGACGCGGGGCGCAGCGGGAGGTCCCTGGCAACAATGATGAGCACCTCCGGCGCTCGCAACATCCGGCCAGCCGGCCGCGCCCGGGCGTGACAAGAAGTTCGCCGCCGGCCGCCGGCCACCCTGGTGTGTAGACGCCCACCCCGGGCCCGGCCTCGCTGCTATACTGGTCCGAGGTGAGGACGCGCACGCACGAGGGTTGAGTTTCTTGCGACCACCGCCGCCTTCTGAGTCAATCGCAGACGCTGGCGCACGCAGCCCGTCCGCCCGTCCCCCACCCCAACTGCGCTGATGGGGGGCGCTGTCCTGGGCAAGGCTTCGCCGAAGGCGGGGGCAGCTCAGCTGGAGGGGTGTTGCTTGGGAACTCGGCGAGCGCCGGGCCCTGTGCCCCCCCACCTTAGCCCCCTCTGCCTGTGGGCATGCCCGGGCGATGATTCATCCTTAATATCCCCCGGGCCGTTCTCCTTACTCCGCGCGCGGGCTCATGCACATATCCGCCTGCGCGTGTGGGGACGTACACCAACACATCCCCGCCCGGCCCTCCCCCCCCCAGGGGCGGGGGGGGGGGGAGGGGCGGCGGCCAGGCCGGCCATGTTCCATCCCCCTCCGCCTCTCGGGGGCAGATATGCGCCACACACACACACACGTTCCTGGGGATGGCCTCTACGATGAACGAACACCGCCTCTTGGGGGAGCTGGGGGGGGGGACAGCGCGGCGGTTGCCGGCACATTGCGTGCACTCACTAGCGCCCCTGACCAGCAACGCCCTTTTTACGGGCTCCCCCCCCCCCGGCCCTTCACGCCCCTCTGCCGGGCCGGGCCGGG